CTGTCAAACTAAACAAAATGAATTTTTATAAGTTTATGATAAACACATAATAAAGGGAAAAGTTAAATAGTAAAATTAACATACTTTTTTGAAGAGAACAATTTTATCGCCATCTACGGAATATTCTGTGAACACTGCACTGTCTGATGTAATACCAAAAACAACATTATCCATTACTTCAGCAGTTTGAAGGAATGCTTTAGCATTATCTGATGATTGATCCTTGAAAACAGAAAATGATAGTCAGACATTAATTACATGTTAACAATAAAAATTATAAGATTTCTTTGTAAAAAGATTGATACTTGTATGATTTTAATAGAAAAAAGTTTTAAATTTGTATTTTTTGAATATAATTGAATGAACTTCTTTGGGAAATGAATTTTTAAAATTTATTATAAAATTAGTAGGTTCTTAAATTGACATCAAAATCGTTTACAATATGTCTCACCTTAAAGAATCCCACAACCACAACATTATTTTCATCGATGAATGCCTTGGCATCATCTACAGATTCCAAGTTTTTGGCTGGTGGACCAGTCTTTTTCTTTAACCAGCTGACAATTTGATCAGCAACTCTACCTCCTATAAATAATATTATTTATTCATTAAAATAACTGTTTCTGTAAATTAACTTACAATCAATGTACTTCACTTGCCTGAATATTCAACTACATGTCCTTTTTTGAAAAATTTCAAGGTTGGGTATCCTTTGACATTATGTTGTTCTGCTAACTCTGTTTCCTCTGTAGCATCTACTTTGGCTAATTTAATTTTAGATCCTTCTTCTTCTAATAACTTAGCAGCTTTAGCATATTCAGGAGCTAATGCTTTGCAATGCCCACACCACGGAGCATCTAAAACACACATTTAAAAAAAAAGAAAAATGAAAAAAAGTTTTTGCAAATAGGAGAATAAAGAAAAAAAAAAAAAAAAGGAAAATTTAAACTTAGAGAAATTAAATCTCAATCCGGTTTTTTTTTTTTTACATTTTTTTTTAGGACGCAACACATTCTATTCTTTTTTTTTTCAAATATAATGAATGAAAAAATAAAAAATGAGATTTCTTTATCCAAAATAATAAACACATTTAAATAATTTAAAACTTCTTCCTGTTCAAATTTTTTAAAATAAACAGGAACTTACTACCCACTGCTATTTAAAAATTTCAAAAGGAGCGTTCATTAACCCGCAATTTAATAAATTCAGGCACAGTCTGATTGAGAGAACCGGTGAATTTTTTTGGTTAACTCTTGATTAGAAAAAAAAATTAAATTTCAAAAAACGTTAAAAATTTAATTACATACATATATATATATATAAATGATAATTAACAGAGTAATACTTACAGAATTCAACTAAGATAAATTCAACGTCAGAAATCGCTGACTGAAAATTATTTTTATTTAAAACTAAAACTCCTTCATCAGTTTCTATTTCTGAAGAGCTAACAAAAGAAATAGACGCTCCAAGAACTAAGCAAATTTTCACAAATAACATATCGTCACAATGATCGGTACTCGCAGAAAAGAAAGACAACCAAATGAGAACTTAAGGATACAACGAAGATGACAAAAGATCACCTAATTCATCAGAACGTGGCACACAAACTCGTGGGGAATTGTGATTGGTTCGTTTCTTTAAATTTCCATAGAGTAAGAAATCATTAGTAATTTTTTTTTTTTTCATAACCAACGTAAATTAATTCACTTTGAATTTTAAGTAAATTACTTGGAAAACTGATTCATTAAAAAAAATTAAATAATAATATTTAGCCTCTGAAATTTTTTCTTTTTTATTTTGAGAAATGCAAATAATATAATAATTTTTTTTTTTTTTTTTAATGCTTATCGAAAGGGTTATGTTAAGAAAAAATTGAAAAAATTTCATTTACTTAAGATTTATGAACCGATTAATAAAATTTAATTTTAATTATTTTTTAAGAATTGACTTTGTTTTACTTTCTCTGCTTAAAATTAACCCTTTAAATTGACAATTTTGCTTATTTTTAGTATGAGTACTGAAAATGAATTCAAAGTAACATCTGAAATATTGCCTTTTTTTGAAATCGATAAATTACAAAAGCCTATCATAGACGAAAAAAGTAAATTTTGTTTTCAAATTTTATTTCAATTATTATTTTATTTTTAAAAATTATTAATTATATTTCAGATGTTATTTCTAAATTCACTTTTACCTGTCCTACTGATATTGAAGTCAAAACTCCTGAAAAAGATTTAGACGGAGATTATATTCTAGACAGGGGAAATTCTAAAAATTTAATTGAAAAAGTCATATATTTAGGTAAATTCCAACATAATTATCACTAACTATTCTTAAATAATAAAAATTATCTTTTTGTACTACTTAACAATTTTTATATAATTTTTAGAACACAGTGTTTCAACTGAAATTAAACTGGTAGGTCTCCAAATATGGAGAGCTGCTTTACTTTTATCTGATTTTATCATATATTCTCAAAAATTATTCGAAGGAAAAACCGTTTTGGAATTAGGATCAGGAGTTGGTTTAACCAGTATTGTAGCTGGAATGTTTGCTAAAGAAATTATTAGCACAGGTACAAATTAAAAGTCAATTTAATATTTTTTACCTTCATAAGAAAAAATTCTTTGTTTATTAATAAATAAATTTTTAGATTTGGATACTGGAAATATTTTAAAACTTCTCGAATCAAACTTGAAAAGAAACAGTGAAATTATTAAGGGAAAAGCAACTGTTGAAAAATTAGATTTTTTAAATTCTGACAACTGGTCCCCTAGTTTTTGTGATAAAGTTAAACACACTGATATCATTATCGCTGCTGATGGTTTGTTTGAATCCTTTAAATTTCATTAACGATAAGTTTTAAATTCTTTTTGTTATTTAAAGTATTACTAATGCTACTTTTTCAATTTTTAGTAATATATGATAATACTATTACAGAAGCCTTTATTAAAACAATAACTAAAATCCTTAGCAGTTCACCAAAGAAAACATTGTTTATCGGTTTAGAAAAAAGGTTAGTATAAGGAGTTTATAGGCCTAAAATGTTTTTTTTTCCCTTTTAAATGAAAATTTTAAAATATTTTATTGCAGATACGTTTTTACAATATCCGATTTGGATTCTGTCGCACCCTGTTATGAACATTTTATGTCTTGTTTGAAATCAGCACAAAATGAAATGCCTTTTAAACAATGGACCATTAGTGAAATGAACATAGATTTCCCACAGTATTTCAATTACGAGAGAACAAAACAATTAATTATGTTTAAAATTACCACATAGCTCTCATTCGAGCATTTAAGTTAATATTCTAGTCAAATTCACATTTTTATCATTTTATATTTTACACAATAATATAACATAAAAATAAAAAATATTCTAGTAAATATTTAATATAAAAAAAAATCCTTATATAAAACCAAAAAAAAGTTCAGTTATCGTTCAAAATAATAAATTATTAATTTTTTTTTTTTTTTAAAATGGATAATTAATACTTGTTAGCATTTATAATTTTTGTCAAACATTTACACTGGATATTTATTTATATTTTCAAAAGGGATATAAAATGATCTTTTAAATGAACTTCCATATGATAAGGAATTAATTTACCATAAAAACCTTTTCTCTGTTGTTCCCATTCTTCCCTTAATGGTTCCATAACTCTTCCAATGACTTCTCCCGTTTTGTCACCGTTTGTTTTCAAATGTGATGAAAAATAAATAACGTCGACTTCATTTTTCCATTGAACTTGTTTTTTTCTAACCAAATCCTTTTTCAAAGAATCTCCTCTTGATTTTTTATCACATTTTTTTATTTGTTTTTTAATTTCACCTTCAGATACAAACAATTTACTATCTGATGCGCTAACGGAATCATCTTTTAATTTCAACACCGAACGACGATTATTATTATTATTATCATTATTTGATTTTGACATTTGTAAATTAACATGTTTATCGAAATCGATTTGAGTGGCGGAAAAACTATTCCAATTATCCCAATAATTAAATTTTTGTAACGGTGATTTTGGAGCGAACAAACTTGTTTCAATGGACGTCAATGATGGTATTTTAGATTTTAAAACGCCTTTTATACCAAATTTTATTATTTTAGGTAATAAAGTTAACGAACTGTGATTTTTTAAATCTGAATTTAAATTGTTCGATTGCGACAAATCGTTAACGGTTTTCGATAACTTAACGGAAGTAAACTTTTTCATCATTTCCGGTTCCCCATCATCATTTCGTTCTTTCATTTTATTATTATTATTATTATAATTAAATTCTGATTTATAACGAAAACAATTATTAAGAAACATGTCGGATTTGACTACATCAATTTTATTAAATTGTAAATTTGTTGTTGATTTACCAAAATTACCATTATTATTATTATTATTATTTTTTTGATTTGTTTTACTATTATTATTATTATTATTGTTGTTTGATTTAAACGTTGTTGTTTTTTTAACATCTTTTTCAACACATTTAACAGGTTCTAAACTTTTAACTGTTAAAGATGAGGGTAATTCAAAATTTGACTGCCTGGTAACATCTAAAAAAAAAAAAGAAAAAACGATGATATGAGAAATCTTTTGGGGGGGGGAGGGGAAAATGAAAAATTCCATATTATACCTTTATTAAAAAACATGGCGTATTTAACATCTTTTTTACATTTATCATTGTCTTCCCATTTTTTAATATTTTTTCTCATTCCCAAATCAGAATTATATTTATTTAAAAGCATTGTAAATTTTAATACATCATTTTTTCCATCTTGAAAACATTTTTGAGGGGATTCCCTTTTTCCATTTAATAATAATATCTTTTCTTCTTCAACTGTTTTTTTATTATTATATTTTTTCTCGTTTTCTCTATTGTTTATTTGATGAATATAACTGTTTCTTATATTTTCTGTTTCTTCTTTTAATTTATTCATATTCAATCAATCAATCAATCAATCAATCAATCAAAATATATATACATATACATACATATATGTATATATTTACATATTATTGATAATTTCAATTTTACTGTGAAAAAAATAACATTTAAATTTATCCTTATTCCATAACTAAATTATATAATCAATAACAAAATCAATATGGCCCCCCACATAAAAAAAAAAATTAGGAATATTAAATAATGATAGGAATATAATAAAAAGTAAAAAAAAAAAAAAAAACTAAATTTAAACAAAAAAAAATGTCATAACTTTTTTTTTTAAATTAACTAAAATCACTAACATTATTACAAACCACATATAGATATAATAATAATAATAATAATAATAATAATAATAATAATAATAATAATAATAATATATAAATGAAATAAAAAAATAAAATAAAATAAAAACTTAGAAAGAAAAAGCGAAGAAAATAATAATATTAATAATAATAAAACTGGCAAATTAAATAAATTTTTTTTTAAACAATAGATACATCGTATTATTTACGTTTAATGATAATAATATTAATTAATTATTATTATTATTATGATGCATCATCGGATCTTTTTTTTTACACATATATATAAGAAATAAAAAACCTTTACGGTTAAAAACCGTTTCACGTTTCAAGGCACAACAAAATTAAAAGATCCTATGATTTAAATATTATTAATTATTATTATTATTATTATTATTATTATTATTATGCAAATACTAAAATCTAATTAATAATAATAATAATAATAAAAAAAAAAAGTCTTTGGATTAAATTATTATTATTATTATTTTAAAAAACATTTTTTCATTTTCATTAAATACTTTTACGTTTTTTATACGTTTTTATTATTATTATTATTAATATTATTATTAAATAAGGGGGGTATTGTTAAAAAAACTAAGCTTTGGAAGAACATTAATAGAGATGCGTGATTTATACGACCTACATAAATATACGTTATTTTAAATTAATAATAATAATAAACTCCGGCACAATTTCAACTCTGACAAGATGAATAGAGAACGTGCAGAAAAAAATTAATAATAATAATTTTCCCTATTTATTTTGAAAGCCTCGATGAATATCCCTTTACCCTCCCCCTTCCCCAACCCCCCAAAGTCTTCCAATAAATATAATTAATTAAAAATAATTTAATAATCAGTCGATTGAGATTAAAAAAAAAAAAACAAAAAAAAATTTTAATTGGTAACTAAACTAAATAAAAATATTTTTTAACGATAATTTTTAAATTTTTGGAAATATAACTATTTAAATAGTGTGTGTGTGTGCGTGTGTGTCGGAGTTCAAATAATAATAATAATAATAACAATATGTTTAATTGATTTTTTTTTAAATAATTGAGATTAGTAGTAGTAGTAGTAGTAGTAGTTACCAACAAAACTAGAGTTGATGTTTCAAGATTCATTTCTTTTTTAAAAAATCGGACATTCCTCAACACAATG